TTGGTGCCATGTTTTGGTTTGACCGCCGCTAGCTCTTTTCCATCCTGACCCTATATCAGCTAACATTGCCCGTCGAGGAAGGCGATGACTAGGCATACGTAGCACATGTCCTAACCATCTCAGTCGAAGTAATTTCACAGTCTCGTCGATTGATTTCCCCGCCTTACCTAGCACTCGACGCCTAACCTCAATATTGCTCACCTTATTATACCACTTCGCGCGGGAGATAGAACGCAGACACCTATGATCGAAGACAGCTAATCTTTTCATGTCGAATCGCATGCCAAACATTTGTAGATTGCAGCTTAAGGTGTTCATAAGACTGCATTATGTCAGCGTCTTCACCTTGAAGGACTATATCATCTGCATATTCTCTGTCGGAAACAAGTCAGTCCCTGAGTCTCTCTCATGAGTTAGAGTCAATTCCATTAGTACATCTATGACGAAATTGAATAGAAATGGGGATAGTGGGCATTCCTGACGGACACTACTAGCTGTCCCACTACAGATGACAACTCACCGTAAGCTCTTTCCTGGCTGCACGAGTTCGAGTAGAGTGCCTTGATCAGTGCAATGTATTTTCTCGGCATTCCCACCTTCACAGCCAAGCATCGCCATAGTACCTCTCGGTCGACAGAACCGAATGCCGCCTTTAGGTCAAGAAATATGACGATTGTCGGACGCCGGCAAGTTTGCATATGTTTCAGAATCTGTCGAAGGGAGGAGATATGATCAATACACACTCTCCCTGGTCTAAAGCCTTTCTGGTTCTCTCGTGTTTGTGCCTCCCGAGCACAACTTTGTCTACACATTATCACTTGTCATTTGTCTACATTATTATTGAGCTTAGAACTCTAGATACCATATTAGTCAGGCTAGTCCCCCTGTGATTATCACACTAAGGTTTGTCTCCCTTCTTGTATATCGGGATAATCAATGACTTACACCAACCTGACGGGACTTCCTGTGATTCTCAAACGCTGCCTAGTACCTTGGTTAAGGCAGACTGTAAACTGTCTCCACCGTCATTAAACACCTGTGGAGTCATTCCATCGGGTCCTGCTGCTTTGTCTCGTTTCATACTAGTGACAGCTTCCGTAACTACAGTTAGGGATGAAGGACCTGTGTCTATATCCCATTCAGGGAGGTTACGGATGCTGGGTGAGTTGGGCGTGCCTGTAGGCCATCTAAAACTTCTCCTCAGAGTGTTCTTTCTAGCGTTCCAGTCATCTATCCTGGGAGCTAATTATGATGCCATTTTTCTCAGAGATTGTTTCACTTATCGTTTGTGTTTTACCACCTGTTTCCCTGATAAGTCTAAATAGTTGTCTGGTATTAACAATCGCCGGTGCCTTTTCTTCCTCTTTCACTTTTGTCGTCCACCACTGTTCACAGTCGCTACGAAGACTTATTGTTGGCTTGCGTTTGAGTAGCTTTCGCTCCTCATCACAATCGGAGCTCGCCGTAGTCAGTATTCTTGCGTCAATCAGTTTGGATGAGGGTAGAAATCCAATGGCTCTTACTAACATTAGGTTTCAGGTTATTAATAGCCTTTACAGCGGTGTTTACAGCTAACTGTAAGTTGCGCCAGGCTACCTCAGGAGGTGTGCTGCTGTAGACCTCAGATACACGTTTCGCTATTTCCTCATTGAATGGGGACTCAGTGTCTCAATCCAGTTGGGGGAAGTAACTGCTTCGCTGCCAGCAATTTCTTATGTCCGTTTAATCGTAACCATAGACGTGCGCGAACCAGAGCGTGATCGGAGTCTACGCACGTGTTCCAGAAGGATCGGCACCCTTCCACTGACCCTCGCCAATGATACCTTATCGCTATGTGGCTTATTTAGGTCGAACGTTGATTTGGTGATGGTGGTCGCCTGGTTATGTGATGTCTCTCTTTGTGCCTGAAGTTAGTGCTGACTAGGAACAAATGATCACATGAACAGAACTGTAGAATACGATTACCGTTGTCGGTTAATCTGTGGGAACTCCATACGTACCACCTACACACTTCTCAGTCTGGCACAACTTCCCTACTTGGGTAGTGAAGTCGCCTGCTAAAACAACTATGACTGAACGTTTTGCTTTTTGCAGCAAATTAGACAGTTTCAGGTAGAAATCATCCTTTAGTTCATCCGAACTGCAGTATGTTGGGACGTAAACGGAGACTACGAAAAGACAACAACGGGTAACACCATCCTTTCCTTTTTCAGACGGACAGCACTATCTACTTGGACCCAGTCAAGAAGTGATTTTCCTGCCCTAATACTCAATGCTACCCCTACACCTGCAAGTCTTCGCGAACTAGCTGAAGGGTCTTCTGACACCCTTAAAGTGAATTTTGCAGATTCACCCTGTTGGCTGGGTGAGGTTAAGTGAATGACCACACTCGGGTCTTGTATGCGTGTCTCCGAGACACAATATGTATCAGTGGCTCTAGATTCCAGAGTTCTTCCTGGTAATGCCTGTTGTCCGATTTGGCGGAGAGTCCTGACGTTGAATGCTCCTATATGAAGTTGGCGACGTGGCTTTAAGAAACTGTCATGGGTGTTCCTATGGCTCTCATCGTTGTTTGTGGTCACAGAGAGAAGTGAAGACGACTCACCAGCCTGAAGAATAGTACTTCCTGTAGTGGGGAAGTAAGATGATGAAGGTGATATGGGTAAGGGAGAATGATGCTCGGGGAGTCTTCGTGCGCTTTTGGAAGTGTGTTGCGCGGTTGTCTCTTCCCGGTTGCCCATACCGTGGAAATAGGTTGATTCTTCGAGTACCTGGAACGGAAGGATTGTCAGCGTTGCCTGACCGCAGAGGGCAGGGGACAACTGCTTGAGGCCGGTCATACACGGCCTGTGTGAACTGGTCTCTTGAATTGGTCCCGTATTAGTAAACTTACCGCTGGTTACGGACCACCGTAGGGTAAGTCGGGATGTAAAATTGTTGGGGTCGACCTTTTCTAACCCCCTCTCTCCGGAGTGAAGAGACAGCATAGCTGGCTGGCATCCTGGTCATCTGAGGGAAACACCTTACTTCTGTTACATACGTCCGCCAGCATAGTGTAAGAAAATTCTTACACAATGCCGGTAACTGCTTTTAGTCTAGTCTCTATCCTAACAATCTTCCTGGGATGGTAGGACCTGCAGGAACAATAGTTTCAGTCAGTGTGGCTTGTTGGGTTATTGCGATGTGCAAAGTAGCAGCTTTAATTAATTATCACTTATTCAGATGTGTTTATTTTTTTGAAATTAACACATCTGAATAATTGATAAGAAATTAAAGCTTACATTTAAAAAGAAGATAATATAACCGGTTACAAGTCAAAACGCAGGTATCGAATTTAAGAGGCATACGGTGTAGACTTTTTCAATCACAGATCAGGTTTGAGTGGGGGAACTTTAGGTACCTTGATATTGTTTACTTACTTATCCCTTGAAAAAAGTTCAAGATGTCTACCAGATGACCAGTCTCAACCAGATTAAATTTTTTTTAAATCAGTAGCTAAGAATTCCCTTCCTACTAGATTTATTTTTACGCATTGGATAATGTGTCTGTTAGTTCAGCCAAAGTAGACCGGCGATCTTCATCTGAGTATGCAAAATCAACAAAAAGGCCCAACTTCCTAAAGTTTGTTGATGCCATCGCTCTCAGACAACTGAAAGTTGACTTATATGGTTGTAACAAGTCACTGTCGGTTTTAATAATCTGACTCTGAGCATTTGGTTGATTATATAACCCCCTTTTATATATGAGTGTTGAGTTTTTTCTCCTATTCCGTTCCAATGTTACTTATTAAACCGTACAGTCTGAATTCAACTGCATAAATAAATTCACTTTATTTTGCACATTGCGATTCTTAAAATAAAATGATTTTATATTTAAACCTCCTGTCGCTTTTGTCATCTGTTTTTTCGAGACACTTCATGGTTTTGACAACTCACTATATGGTTTTAGTCCTAATCGTCCTTCACCTAACATTACACTAAATGTGATGTGAAGACAACAGTGGTCAAGCAATGAAGCCGTTACAAACCTATTGGATTATCACATGTTGTGGTATTCTGATTTGTATGTCCCACTGATCCAACGAGTTATGGAAGCTGATACGATAGTTCTTCGCGGTTCTACTTTACTAAGAGAAGTCACTTGTTAGTGTTACGGTTAGGGAAGTTGTGCGGTGTAGTCATGGTGTTTCCGGCGGATGATCGATGACCTAGCTTTACTGCATTCTCAATTGTTGAGGGGTTTGTAAGAGTTGTCCACAAAACTCATTCAACTATTTTCTATAGTTGATTTGTAAGGGTTAGTTTTGTTTTTACGAGTTGATCACGTATTGTTATCAGTTAGAGAACCATTGAAAACCAGCAAGGAGTACTGGAAAGCTGTTTCATCCTAGTTTGGGAATTATCTGCAGTACACACCCACTGGGGTTCAAACCTAGGACCTTCCGGTTACAAGGCAAGCTCGTATACCATTCAGCCACTGGGACCCGATTCATTGGCTCATGAATTCTAACTTCTACCAATTCGTGATTTAGCGCAACCCCAACCAATGTCATCGGTGGGACACCCATTCTCACACGTGACATCTGGATGAACCTCACTGGTCACGACTTCTCACTAGAACTCCATCCTGTAGCAAGTCATTAGCGAGCATCAGATAAATTTTCTATAGTTGATTTGTATGCAGAGGGACTGTCGCTGGCGTACCATAAACGTAAAATTTTGGTGGAAAAGTGGTGAATATTTTAAGTCGAAACTTAACTGACCTCAACCAAACTTCGTTTCTTGTCCATCATTTTGCTGACGATTAGATTTTGAAAGGATTGGTCATTTAGTGTTGTTACTAACTTTCTACTGATACTGTGTCCTTGTGTACTTCCAACAAAGTCCGATTTACGAAGGTATCTACTAATCGTTTTTATGCTGTATCTCTATGGTGTATATGAATAATAAGTTGGTGCATTTCCACTGTGTTTTTTTTCAGAACTACAAATATAGTCTCTAATGCTGGGAGTCTTCGATCTCGACTTGCTACCGCAAGAGCTTCCACATACAACGATAACATCATGTCTTTGCAGTGGTGCTGTATTCACAGGCTCTCAACGGTCCAAGGGTAAAAAATACAACGTTGAAGTGACAATACAAGCAAGATGATACCTCTAATAATCATAATATTTATTCAGTATGTGGATATGCAGCAAAAGATGATATACGGATTCATGAAAATTGAGAATTTGACCCAGGAATACCCCAGTCTGACTACATACTTTGAAGGAGAGATAATCAGCAGATTGCATCCTTTCTTAACAGGTAAATGGGATGCTACAATGGAAACAGATGTCTTACACTGGGTACTTGTTTAGTTGTTGTTGTTGTTTTTTTACTTATGAATTTATTTTCAGGAAAAAATACCTGCAACAAGCTCTTTAGGAAACTTTCACATCGATAGTTTTGATTATTCTGTCTTGGAGAAATCTGATACCATTTTTATGAGATGGAAGGTAAGTGTTACTTTACTGTTTTATCATATTTTTTCGTAGGAGAAGTTCATTGTTCCTGATCCTGGTTTGAAACACATAGAAGGTGCATCATTTGCTGGATTTTACTACATCGGTTTGCAGAAATCCATTGGTCATGTTCTAGGATATTACTATCATCTTAACTCAGAAATGTATGTTTTCATCCTTTATCTATCTATCTATCTGCATTTCTTGTTCACTGTCTAGGTTTCAATCACTCGAACTAAAATATAAACCAGAGTGTACACCATCAATTTTTCAACTTCGCTGAGTATACAGATGTGCAAGTTGTAATTTCAATCACCTGAAGTACTTGAAATGGTTTTTTACTGATTGACCTAACTTATTTATCAGGCAGCACCTGTCATTTCGGCTTTAGAAGATATTTCTTTTGTATACTAACGGCAAGCAATGCATGGATTCGGTAGTATATCTCCTACCTGATGGTTACTTTAAAACTGTACAGTTCTGCGTATTTTATAAAAGATCCTCTTTGTACAATCTCTATTATAGCAATATAGTTCTACTCGATACTTTCATTTTTGTTAATTATTATAAAAATAGATTGCCATCATTATATTATCATCTGTAAGCGAGAATGAATATCGTACTAAACCTGTTTGTTGTTATGCATGGACGGTTTGTCATATGTTCGAAGAGAGATAAATGTTGATTCTTGTTACTTTTTAACTTCTGCAATGATTATCATTCGGATGAGTGACTCAGTATGCTAGGCGCTTCGCTTTCAGTAAGGAGTTGGTGATTTCGACTACCTGGAGAGTGTCATTAACCCTTCTTACAATGAATAAGGATAATTGGGAGACCAGGAGAGGGTAAATATATTTTTAAGTAAAATTAACTTCGATACCAAGATTCAATTACCCAGGCAAATACAAAGTAACAACAAATAATTTTTAATTATATATAAAGACAGGTTCAAGTCTTTTTGTGAATATGGTTCCGAAGAATTTGAGTAAATTACCCAAACCGGTTTCATGTATAGGGTTAATGGTGCTATTGAAAACAAATTTATAACTCGTCTCTAAGGTGTGCTTAGCGAAAATGACGTTGGACATCTATTACCAGGTTTTACTAAATCAAGAACACAATATTCAGCGAAGAGACTCTTTTCAACGAATTTATTATCAGGCGATCGTTTTGTTCACGCACCCATTTAAGATTGTGTTCTGCCGTCCCAACCTGCAGATATCAGTGGGTCCTACCTATGTTCGTGTGACCAAATATACATTTAAATTGACTAACACAGCTGGATGTGACACTATCTTTGGAATGCTGCGAGGGTTCACACAACAACAAAATTTTCGTTTCCTCTATGAAAATGAGTTATCTGCATAGTAGCTTCTGTTGATGGTCGCTCCGTGTCTTTGTTTAGCGATCGGATTTTGGTGATCATCGTTGGACAGTCAAGATATGTTGCCATCACCTTTTCATCTCTCATTCGAGGGCCTCATGCGTAGCGTCACTCAGCGTGTGTTCGATGCATCCCTCTGTTTTCTTCAGAATATCTGTTGGGTAGTAGGTTCTTGGTTGGTCTATTGCCAGAATTCTTTTTTCAATCCCTTCTGGCAATCCCATCTTCAGTATGCAGCAGAGGAAGCTGTTGTTAAAAGTCCGAAGCCTGTTGGAAATGCTTTTCGTCACGCACCTAGTCTCTATGCCATATTGAAGCACTGATTTGGTACTAGTGTTGATGGTATGATTCTTGTTCTTTATGCTGAATGCAGAAGATTTCCACACTGATTTCAGATTACTGAAGGTCTGTTGTGCTCATCCGATCATGCGTTTGACATCGTCATCCGTGCTGCCTGTAGCTAAAACGATGATATCCAGATAAGTGAGCGAAGTGACTCCCTTCAAATTTCTTCCATTGACAGTGATTGACGCCTGTTGTTATTGGTTGGTTAGGTATTTTCATCACCACTATCTCTGTGTTTACTTGAAGTTCTATGAATGCTGATTTTCATTGCCAACTGGTTGGTTTTCGCTTGTATATCTTCTAGTTTGTGTGATATTAGACATAGATCGTTCGAGGAGTCCAGATCTCCTATACTCTTCTTATCAATCGGTCATATTTCGTTATTCTTGATTCCTACAGTCTTCTACATAATCCCGCATTCCACAATCAGATAAATTATTGGCGATAGCAGCTAGATATGTCTTACTCCTGCTCTTACTTCAAAAGCTCCGCTGAGTTTCCGTTGTGGATCACTTGATATGTGGTGTTGTCATATAGCTGTTGAATGAGGGGGATAAAGATTTAGGGTACTCCGTAGTTAGTCAGTGTAATTTCCCAATTACTTCGCAGTCAATGCTGTCGAAGGCCTTTTCACAGTAGGGATTCGACTGCCATTGTATGCTTTGCATGATGACGACGCGCAGAGTTGCAATTTGATTTGCTTTTCCTAAATCCATAGTGTTCTGCATCCAGTGCATCCCTTATTCTCCCCGGGATGATATCACCTAATGTTTTGCTTACCGTGGACGAGAGCATGATTCCGACCCAGTTTCTACAGAGGCCTAAGTTGCTTTTATTTGGTGGTTTGAAAAGGTAGTCTTTCTTCATATCAGTAGGTAGCTTAACTAACCAAACTTTCTGCAACAGTGGCATGAGCATATCTGCTGCGGCCTCTAGATCTGTTCTGTATTTTCGGCGGAATTTCAGTGGCTTGATTGCCTTCAAGATTCCTGTTTCTTTTGGAGGAATGTTTTCCACTGCTAGTTTTGTATCTATTAGGTGGTATTTCTCGACAAGCTGCATGTGATGGTCTTACGAAGTGATCCGACCATTTTTTCCTTGTTTCTACAGTTTGGTGATTAGGTTCACTTGACCATCTTTCATTGGTTTCATCTGTCTTCATCTCTTTCCCGATAGAGACCTGGTTATCGGATATAGTGTTCTGAGGTCTGTATTACCTGTGACCTGTTCTGCTTCACCTTCCAGTGTGTTGTAGAAGTGTCTTTTGTTTTTCTTCGCACTCTTCTTCACTCCTTTATTCAGTGCACTGTACACCGAACTCAGATTCACCTTTTGTTGTCCAACTTTGCATTAGTTTATCGCCTGTTTCATCATCCGTTTCTCTTCTGTTATTTTCCACGTGTTTTAGGGAGGCATTCCTGGTCTTTCCTCTCCTTCATTCCTAAAATTGCTATAAACTTTATTTAAACATCACTTTCAGAGAGTTTCACTGTTCTTCCACACAGGTTTACTCAGTGATGCTACCCAATGTCCCCGACTTTACTCTGATGGCTGCAGTGAATGTGTCTTTTGTGGTTTTGACCTTCATTTTCCGACTGGTTCAACTTGAATTATAGCTTTCAACTGGACCTCGAAAGTTCCATGCACTCGACGGTGGTCTGAGCCCACATCTGCTCTTCTTCTCGGATTTGTATTCGAAAGGCTGCGTCTCAACTTTCTTGAGCAGCATTGAAATGAAGTCTGTCTGATTTTCAGTGTCCGTCAAGTGAAACTCAAGTCACCTTGTGTATATCCTTGTCTTGTGCACGCTACCTCTCATCACAAAGTCAATGAAGGCACATGAGTCTGCGAAAACCTCTCCGTTATCATTTACCACTTCGCCTAGAGCCTCTCAAACCATGATGAGTTCTCTTCATGCATTGTCCGCTCCCAATTCGGCTGGCATTCCTATGGCCCATGAGGATTTCGATGTCTCCATTCGGGATATTGTCAATTGATGTTTGTAGTTGTCTGTGAAAATTTTCCTTCTTCTCTTGTTCCGCGTTGTTTGTAGCATTGGCTAATTGTAACCTTCCTTTCTTTTGAGTTGAATATTGCTGTCATTATCCTGGAGGAAATTGGTTTCGAGTGCATTAGAGCTTTGTTTGCCGTTGATGACACTATGAGATCCAATTCATGTCTATTCATATTGTACTGTAATATAATAAAATCCTCTTAATAAAAAAGTGATTTCTTTCTGCAAACTCAACGATGTGTGTTAGCATAGGATGCAGTAAATGACAATTAGTAGCAGTGTTTCCATAATGCGTTGAATATGTCTGTTTTTCGGAAAAGGACTTACTACTGCTGAACTAATGTTCGTGAAGTGCGTATTGGCAATGATGAAACAATGCTAGTCAGTGCTAACTTAGGGCTGAAAAAGTGCCAGTATGCGCTGAACTAAATCTGATTGTCCTAAAGTAATGCCAGTCATTGCCAAATCCGGACTGAGAGGGCTGAAATAAAGCTGATAAAAAACCCACTAGGTTCTGAGCTACTTCTGAAAATGCCGACAAAAGGCACAGGTGTTGAATTTGTGCCAGTCATTCCGAAAACCATCGCTGGGTTCTAGTTTGTGAGGTAAATCAAACCATTTCAAGACATTTTCTGACATTTTGATTCACTACAGAAAGTCAGAGTTAGTTGAGAATGTGCGAGACTTACTTCTGCACCATTGTGAGTTTAGGAACTTCAATCCAACACGCATTTCATGTGAAGAAATGAATGTTTAAGTGAAAGAAACTACAACATTTTCCAACAGATGATACAAATATGATTTGCCTTAACTAATTTTTATCAGGTCATTCAGTTTTATTTAGAATGTTACAAGGACAGCCACAGTTTTAGACTTCATTTTTGTAAATGGTGATGGACACAGCCACTATCATTGTTATTATGTGTATATAGTTCTCCACGGAAGTTACTGCTATATGAACGAGCTTATCAGGTGCAACAACTCGGTAGACCTATATCCGCTTAGAAGATTGTTACTGGAAATCCCACCATGTGAGGTAGGTTGCTTAAACAGTCAGACAGACTCTCGATATATGACATATGTCGAATGTCACACAAATTCTAAGACTTACAGGTGAAAGCCGACAAAATGGCTGAAGAAGCTGCGTAGACAGGACTGAAGGTGAACAAAGAGAAGACGTTGCAAACGAAGGTAACGAGCCAGCAACCACCGTCAACAGGAGGGATTTGATAGAGGTTACCTCCTTCACTTATCTAGGAAGCGTTGTTATAACTACAGGCAGAACGGCTGAAGATGTCAAAACCAGTTAGGATCGGAAAGGTAAGATGCGCCTTCATCAACCTGGAACCAGTTTGGAAATCTTCTGCACTCAGCCAGCATAAGGAACAAGATGCTCATTTTCAACATCAGTGTCAAGTCGGTCCTTCTTTACGGGTCAGAAACTTGACGTGTAACGAAAAGGATTTCCAATAGGTGGCAGACTTTCATCAACAGCTGAATTCGCCCTATACTGAAGATCAAACGGCCAGAAAGAATTAGT